CAAACAATAAAAACATTAAGTTTAGAGGTTACTCATTCCCTTTTTATGTATGGCTAGAGCATCTTGAATATCATCATCTTTATCACCATTGCTCTCACACACCTACAAGAGACATTTAAGTAGATTTTGGTATCCAAATTGCTTTGGATCCTTGAACATTAGTTTCAATGCCTCTTGTTCCTTTTGGAACCCATACTTGTCTAATTTTAAATCATTTTCCTTTCTTTAAAGGACAAGTATGTTCCTTATAACCATGATAATGACAATGTGAACATATTGTCATTATTGAACTAGATGAATTATTTAGATTGATCTCTTTTTCTCTTGTTAAACATTCAAGCTTATCTTTCAAATTGAAATTTTCTTTTTCAATACTTTCAAATTTCATTTTTGAGAGTTCTAAATCCTTCTTCAAGATTTCATTTTGATTTTCAAAATCCATTTTCATTTCTAGAAGAAGTTTGTTTAATTTGAAAATTTCTTTTTCAAAGTTTTCAGATTTTATTTTTGAAAGCTCTAACTCATTTCTCAACATTTCATTTTGATTTTCCAAGTCTGTTTTAGCTTTCAAAAGAATATCATTTTTAGCAATAAATTTAGAAATCAATTTATTGTATTTGGAGTTCATGGTCTCAAACTCCGAAAATAATTTATCATAAGCATCTTGTAACTCATTAAAAGATTTTGAATTTGATATATTTGAGTTAGAAGATACCTTTGGCTCTGTGAGAGCTAATAGAGACATCACTTTTATTGGTTCTTCTTCTTCCTTGTCTCTATAGATCTCCTCAAGCTTATCCCACATTTCTTTGGTACTTGAACAAGAAGAAACTCCTTTATATACATTAGGATCAATTGCACAACACAACATGTGCATAGCCTTTGAGTTTTGTTGAGCTTCCTTCCGTTCTTGAACACTCCACTTCTTTGCCTTCTTAGTAGGAGAGGAATATCCTTTCTTGATTATCATCCAAGCTTCCATATCAAATGCTTTGATGAATATCATCATATACCTCTTCCAATGACGATAATTTGTTCCATTGAACTGTGGAGGCACGTCAATAGGTCTGGATTCTTCCATGGAGAATGAACCGGAAGTAGACGCCATCTTTATTGATTTAACTCTTCCCGGATCGACTCAAGAGGCGATTAAACCTTCAAATGAGTGAGGCTATGATACCAATTATTGAGTTAATCGATTGACGAATATGGATAAGAGGGGGGTGAATTGGCAATTAAAATTTTGGTGGAAGCTTTTGCAGAAAATTGAAAGAAATTTGCACAGCGATTTAGAGTGGTTCGAATTTCTCAACCAAAGTCTACGTCCACTACCTTAGCTATCCACACTAAGGATTTTCCAACAAATTCACTAATATTTTCTTTCTTTTGAGGACAAAGAGTAACCTTACAACTCCCTCAAGAATTATACCCCAAATTCTTGAGCCCATTCTTTTTCAAAGAGAAATACACAAATTTGCAAACTTACAAGGAAAACCTCATAAGGTAAGATGTTTGCACAATTCTAGAACAAGAAAAGAACACTAAAAAATAATTACAAATGAGCACAAATGGTGTTCTTGAAAGCAAAATGAATATTGAAAGGAAAATTGGCTTGATTTGCACAAACTTGGTGTTTGATGCTTTCTCTCTTGTTTCTCTATGATTTCTCCTTGATCAAAGGCTTCAGAACTTGTTTAAATACTCCCTCAATTGATTCTGAACGTTGGGGATGATTAGTGGAGTCAATGGAGTCATTTAAGTGTGAAAACCATTAATACAACAGCTTGGAGCGTGGGGGGAATCGATACCCCTAATGGGGAAACGATTCCCTAAGTATAAAATTCAAATATTTCGACCGTTGAACAGGGGGAATTGGTACCCCTGGGGGGGGGGAATCGGTTCCCTCCGAGCATACTAGAATTCTCGGAGCCAAATCCTTTAGGGGGAATCGGTACCCCATTGGGGGGGAATCGGTTCCCTCTGAGTAATCTGGAATTTTTGGCTTTGAGATGGTTCGAAATATTTTGTAAAATCGTTTTGAAATTATTTTAAGATTAAAACTTAATTTTACACTTGAGTAAGGATTAAAAATGACATTTGAAACATTTGGAGTATTATTTTGATATTCGAATAATTATATCGAATATACTTAGAAAATCTTTTTGGAAAATCTTAAAATTCATTTAACTTAATTTTTTATATCGAAATATCAAAATGTTTTCAACAATTTTGATGTTTCGATATAACAAATTAAGATAAATGAATTTTAAGATTTTACAAATGATTTTCTAAGTATATTCGATACAATTATCCGAATATCAAAATATTACTCCAAGTTTTTCAAAGTCCAAATTTAATCCTTACTAAAGTGTAAAATTGTGTTTTAATCTTAAAATATTTTTGAAACAATTTTTACAAAGTATTTTGAATAAAAAACGAGCCAAAAGTTCAATTTTCAAAGGAATGAATCAATACACTAGTTCATGCATCGATGCACTCTTAATTAAATTGAATTTCGAATGCATTTAGTGCACCGATGCACAAGCCATCCATCGATGCACCCCTAAATATTTTGAAACATCGAATGCATTCAGTGCACCGATGCACAAGACATGCATCGATGCACCCTGGCTATTTTGAAACATCGAAGCAGATTTGTGCATAGGTCCACACCCCAGTGTACCGATGCACTACCCAGTGTACCGATGCACTAAGTCTTTCAACGGTCGAAATATTTGAATTTTGCACATTGTGTACCGATGCACAAAGCCTATGCATCGATGGACACTCGCTCCCAACTGTTTTATTAATTGTTTTCACACAATAACGGCTATATTGACTCCACTAATGATCCTCAACGTTCAGAAGTGATCCAATGTGTATTTAAACAAGCTTAGGAGCCATTGATAAGTAACAATCATCAAGACTCAAGAGAGAATAAAAGAGAAAGCATAAAACCTCAAGTTTAAGCATTTTCAATCCTATTTCATTCAATATTCATTTTTGCTTTCAAGAACACTTATCGTGCTCAATTTTATTATTCTTGAGTGTTCTTTCTTTGTTCTAGAATTGTGCAAACATCTTGCCTTGTGAGGATTTTTTTGTAAGTTTGCAAAATTTGTATTGTTCTCTTTGGGAGAGAGTGTTCTCAAGAATTTGGGGTATAATTCTTGAGGGATTTGTAAGGTTACTCTTTTTCCTCAAAAGAAAAACAAATTAGTGAATTTGTGGAAAATCCTTAGTGTGGATAGCTAAAGTAGTGGACGTAGACCTTGGTTGAGAAAGTCGAACCACTCTAAATCGCTGTGCAAATATTTTCAATTTTCTACAAAAGCTTCCACCGAAATTTTTATTGCCAATTCACCCCCATCTTGGCCGATTCCATCAATCGATTAACTAAACATTATTCATGTACATACTTTCATATAGCCCATATATCAATGCTATATACTTATCTCACAGTTTTACATAATCACTTATATCTCATTAATTATATATTATTTCCATGTATTCATTTATATTGAATTCACTTATCTTATATTACATATTCCTATAATCACTTATGAAATCATGTATCACGTTATGCATACATCACAAATCAAATAATATTTTAGGAGTCAATTCTTACCATAGTAACTCCGTCACTGGCTCATCGCAAGCCAATGTTTGTTCGATAACATAAGTACAATTAAATTGCACTAAGCTTAGCATTGCTTCCTTTGAATCAATCATAGTCCTTCGATTGTTCCGGAACAGGATTACGTTTAGTATCTACATAACATACATGGATCCATATCAATATTCTTATTGATATACTCTAATTGTTCATTCCTTAGACTAAAAGAAATGTTGATTTTATCTCTTGTTTAAAATAGGTATCGGTACCCTCTATAGGGTATCGGTACTACCCTAACTGAGGTATCGGTACCCTGCCTAGGGTATCGATACCCTTTTTGAAATCTGTAAATTTTACCCATAAATCACTATTCAAGCACGAAAATTCACTATTTTTAGCTTCAATACTTCATGTTTCATTCCCTTTCATATTCTTAACTCAAGTACATATACTTAAATTAATTTCTACTCATTCAATACATCTTTAACCTCAAAATTCCATCTTTCATATGAAAATCAATAATCATACCAAATTTTCAAGATGCTCTAAATCCAATTCTATCACTTCATATCTCTTAATTAAGTTGATGACAAGTCAAATTTAGTTTCAAATTCAACTTATCAACTCTTTTCCAGAAATTCTCTTAAAAACTCATTCTCTTTAATCTTTCATAACTTCTTCATCTTTCGTTTTCAAGACAACTTAAGCTTTCCTTAAGCTTAAGTATCACCTAAGGATCAAGACCCATACTTAAAATCAACAAACAATCAAGAAATCAGAAAACTCACCTTTGCTCCCTTGGTTCACGGTGGAGAAGAAGAAAACAAGAAGAAGAAGAGAGTTTTCTATCTCACTCTCCCCCTACGTGTTTATCTTCTATTAAAGGGGAGAAAAAATATCTTTCATGTCAAATTACTATTTTACCCTATAATTCCTTTGATAATTACTAATAACTTTCAAGAAATATTTCCAAATAAATCATTGAACTATTCAACTATTCTACTTTTATCACCAAATTCTGAAATTTTACAATTTGGTCACTAACCCGGTATTGAGGATGTTACAAATACAATGTCCTAAAATAATATTATATTCCAATAATCTTATTCCTAATTATAATCTTATATTTCGTGAACTAAACATCTATAAACAGAAATCAAATAATTGGTTAAATCATATTAACTCAATAGTTTAAATATATCACATCAAACTACTAAAAATACGATAATAACGATTAACAATTTAATAATTTATTATAAAACAATAATATTAATATCCGTTTTGATAGTTTATGGAACTCTAATGTTAAACAAAATTTACTCATACTTTAATTATCATTTATGTGATTTATCCATAAAATAAATGGTAAATTCCAATAATAAAGCCTTCTCTTCGTTGCGGATTTGGATAAGCAACAATCATGGCTTAGCCCTGCGCGCTTCGCTTGTTTCCCTCCTCACCTCCACACCTTTCCCGTCTTCTCTTCTCCTCCCATCTCCACCTCTGTAAAACTCCGCCGCCGTCTTTTCCTTTCAACAACAACCGTTTCTCCTTTCACCATTCAAGATCAACGCCCCACTTTCATCCCCGATGCCGTACCCGACTCCTCAGACAACCAAACCTCTTCTGATTCTGTTGCTGTCGATGATAATTTCAACGATTCGGGGGTCATCCTATCGGCTTGCTTGGTCGGTATCTTTACGGGAATCGCCGTCGTTTTGTTCAACAACGGCGTACATGAGATTCGCAACTTTTTTTGGGATAGAATTCCTTCTAGAGGTGCTTCCTGGTTGCGAGAGGAGCCTCTCGACCCCGTTTGGGTGCGTGTCATTTCTGCGCCTGCTTGCATCGGTTTAATCGTCAGCGTCTTGAACGCCGCTAGGAACGCCGTATCGGAAGCTAGTTTTAGCGCCAAAGGAGCGTTGGGTTCGGTTTTGAAAGTTTTAGCGGCCTGTTTCACTCTGGGGACTGGTAATTCCTTAGGACCCGAAGGTCCAAGCGTCGAGATTGGTTCCTCCATTGCTAAAGAAATCCATTCTAGTTTGGATAAAAATCCTCAAACCAAGCTCTCCCTCTTAGCTGCCGGCTCAGCTGCTGGAATCTCATCCGGTTCGTTTTCGAATTTTAAACAGTAAAATTTTGAAATTGGATCTCTTTAACTAATTTACTTTTTATATGTATCTTCAGGTTTCAATGCGGCCGTCGCGGGTTTCTTTTTCTCCGTCGAGTCGGTTTTATGGCCATCATCGCCGGCGGATTCATCAGTATCACTTACTAACACACCCCCATCTTTGTTTGCGATATATATGCAAGGCCCTAGGGAAGAAAAGGAAAAACAAAGAAAGATTGGGGATCTCTTGGAAAATAAGGGTGGACGAAGTGATGAAAACCGAGAGATGTCTCCTCTCACGAAAACACTAAACTAGTTCCTATTGCAACTCAAAATAGATTAAAATGAACTTAGATATAGGATTTTATCTTTATGGGTATTCTTTCTTTGGGGTACAATAGTAGAACTGGAAGTTAAATCTCCAACTCTAGTCATACCACCAGCCCATCCCAACTGCTTCAGTTAATCCCAAAGGTCATCCCAGTCAATTAGTATATTACTATATCTTGAAATCAACATCTTGGTTGTACATCCATACCAAAGATGTGTTAAAATCACTCTGTTTTCTAATCTGAAACCAGACGTTTCCAATTCGTTTATATGATCTCACACACTTATTACCATTCACTGAAGTTGCAACCTTTTGATCTTTGACTAATTAATAATCCTTGCTACAGGTGCTTTTGGTATCTGAAATATGTTCATTGGATAGTGCAAAATGTAAAGTGCCATGGACAGCTACACCTACTATGGATATTCTATCTGCTGAAATGATAATGAATAAACATGGTCTGAATCAAGTTCCAGTTATGTCATGTAAAAGACGGTCGGGGACAGCCAATTGGCCTTCTGGACAGAGAATGTATCAATCTAACTTGCAGGTTTATAACTGAATCTTTGGTCTGCTTATGTGTCTCTATTAATTATTTCATTAATTATAATGGTCTGACCCTTTAATAGGCTAAAGTTAGACATGATTGTAAATTAACCTTTCTTTCCCATAGTTTGGCTTCTGGCAATGGTATAGATAGTTGTATCTTAAATAACAGAGTATCAGAAATAGAGAATTGCGGGTTTTAAATTTTATATTGAATTATAAAAGTAATCATGTGTGACAAAATCAAACTCTTTTTAAAGTTAAAGTTGGGGTTTCAAATCTATGTTTCCACTTTCAATTTCTTTCATGTAGGCCTGGTTTTTTTTTTTTTGTTTCCGAGTATATATGCCTTTTCTTTTTTTGGCAGAGCCGTAGCTACAAGAGAGTCGCTTGATTTTGACACAGTAAAGTCAATCGTGAAATGAGGATGAAGCCTGGCCCTCGTACATGATATAGAGTGGTTGACATGACAAATTTTGTTGCACTTTGATTTCAATCTTTGGTGATCATCAATTCAGCCATGGAAAAGGGGATTGGCTCTGCATGGTCAGTATCCTTAACTAGGGGTGAATATTCGATTGAGTCAAGTAAAAAAATTTTGAGTTATTCGAGCTGATGATTCCTATTCTATACCTCAAACTTTATTTGAACCTTCTTCGAGTCGGATCGAGTTTATGAAATTCAAGTCTAGTTGAGTTGTTCAAGTTTCTGTTTAAATTTAATTATAAATATTTATAATGTTATGATACCATTTGATGCCAATTTAAAGGTTTTCTCACTCAAAGTTGAGGTACTCTACTCGAATTTGAAAATTTTTTGAGTAGAGTTTTGTCGAAAAATTTGGTGTTTTGAGTCGAGTTTTGATCACCGGATCCTTAACTAGCCCCATATGTTTCAGGGAAGGTAAATCACACACCAGGTATACTCTCACGTATGGATGAACAAACTGGAAGGGTTTTTTGCTTCTTTTTCTTCAAGATGGGAGATGAGTAGCCAACATAGCTACCTACCTACCTTGGGATCTTTATGACTTTAAATATTTCACAACCCTGAAGGTCCGAAATTTAGCAGGCTGGTGTCACCAACGAACAGGAAAAGAGAATTGTTCAAATAGGAGTCTTACATCAGGTATCAGTTTCTTTCGAAAACTCTCATATGTTAGCTATTCACTTGTTTAGGCAGTCATACTAAAACAGGTATATACGTGGTCTTGCTTATAATATTTATCAAATGACCTGAGCAAATCATCATGGGGAGAGAGATGTTCCATGTCTGTATGCTGTGTCCAATTGAGAGGCTACTTAACATCCAATTTTGGGACAAGTAATGCTGCCATTTTACTGTGTCCAACATCATCAGTATCAATCACACTGTAAAGCACAATGATTAAGACATTTGAAGTTTACCGACTGATAACATCTTTGAACCCTTGATGCATGCTGAAGCATTTAGGGATTCTCAAATAACTTGCTACTTATGTGTTCAAGTAACAAGTTACTGACCATGATGAGTTCTTTTAGTCGGTTCTGTAAATATTTTGGACTTTTTTTGAATAAAATATTAATTAATTAACTGATAAATCTTTTTATTTTAGAGCAAGGAACACTTTAATTAATTAATTATAAATAATTAATATAAAATAAATATTAGAAAACAACTAGTCGGCCTTTAATACGCCAAAATCCTTTTAAGTGAATTCGACGTCTCAAGTGCTGTGGTGGCTTGAACTACGCCCACAAATGCAAAATATTAAACTACGGCTCATGCCTGGCTTCAATAGGATATTTTACAAATTATTAATAAATTTATATATTTTGTGTTAAATAATTATTATTTAAATATCAAAACACAATGAATATATGATTGATACAGCCAATTTGACAAGTGTAGTCCAGTAAAAAAAGTAAATTACGTATTTAGTCATACAATTATTCGTGTAGTTTCATTTTGATCTTCTAATTATTTTTTTCCTTCAAAATCAACGTTTTAATTAATATGAGATAAGCACAAGGTAATCTCTGTTGAAAGATAACTCCCAACTATATGACGTTGAACGCTCACACCCTTGATAATCATGGTGTTCGAACTCGGAACTCAAAGAATATTAATAATTTATTTACTACTGAGATGACTTAATTCGTGCATCATATATGAATGTTAAAATTGAAGAGCAATCCTTATAAGCATATCGTATAAAATTAAAAAAATAACCAATCAAGTAATTTTATATTTTAAACTTTTTTTTTCCTCACGATCACTGAATCAACATTGGGATAAAACATTTTAAATAAATTATTAAACTTTTTTTTCCTCACGATCACTGAATCAACATTTGGATAAAACATTTTAAATAAATTATGTACTAAATGAAAAACATTAACAATTTTTTACAATTTTATTATTATAGAAAATATTTTTAAAAAATAAAATTAAACTGCGAACCACAAACATAGACTGAAAGATCAGTCTAATTAAAAAATGTAAATGGGATCAGTCTTTCTCAATCGTGTCCCATAACATAGACTGAACATGATTTCTTTTTCTTGCTAATTTGCAGGAGAAGAAAACTTGTGGACACTCAAAATGATTATAGTTGAACAATTGAAAGATCGTTTCGGGGTTTATGCCTTAAATGATCTTAATTTATTTTTAATAATTTGGAGTGATTACAAGATAGTACCAAATCAGAATGTATATTAGTCTATTAATAACGTAACACAGCTGCTTAAACTTTGATCCTCGAAGAAACACTTATCAATGGGTTCAGTAAATGGTCGTAATTCATTTGTTGATGATGGGGCATTGAACGTGGCTGCTAACAAAACCGTACCATTTTCCCATCACCATGGCTATAGTTGTGGTCCTTGATCTTGATGTGTGTTCATTTTGGCTGCCAAGCATATGCTTTTATTTTTGACGAAACAACAGAACAAATATCTTGAAGTGAATGCGATGTTTTATCTTCAAGAAATTGCTAGCATTTGGTGTCTTTGTAGCCTCACAATGTTTGATAAGTGTCTCACTTCTGAACTCGACGAACGGTAATCTTTTATACAACCGAGTTCGAAATCGAAAAATTTGATTTTTTTTTTCATCGAGACGGACGAGTAGAGGTGAATAGAAGGGATAAAATGACTGCTAATGAGCAAATGAATGGCTTCGATACAACTAAAAGGTATTGGACCATTTGTGGGGGCAGGTTTATGCCATTGGAACTTGGAAGTCTCTATTTATGGAGCATTATCCTCCTGATTTTAACTCTGTTTTCTTTTTATCTTTTCCTGCGGAAACCACAACCAGAAACTTAAAAAGATATGTTTCTTCGTGCTAGATTGCATGTGTATCAAAAAGAGAGTCTTCAAAGTGTTTAAAGGACCCTGGAAGCTTCATTCTCCCCATGGAGGAGCAGTGCCATTGACACCATTGTTGTTCAAGTTTGGACTCAATTCTGATAAAAAAAAAAGTAGCCACCATTGGAGATTGCTTGCATCTAAGTTTCTGCCGCAAAGGTCCTTGCTTTAATTTTTTTTTTACTATCCTTTCAGTTAATTATTAGCTCAGAAATCTATTTTTGTCATAATTTTATTTATAGTTCTGCACTTTGATTTTTACTTTTTGCCAAGTGTTAAAAGTACAAAGGATTTTATGTTGCATAAATGAGAAAAACTGCATCAAACTAGCAACTTTTTTCTACATTTTTCCTAGTATAGTATCATGGTAACTGTGCAAGAACTCATAAGCCAAAAAGAAGAAATCATGTCCAAGCTCTGAATTCTGAGAGCCATTTTAATTGATTTGAAGTTTTCCCCCCCTCATAAGTACCACTTTTCTGTCTTGGTATTATATGCAGCTTCACGTTACGAATATTCACCCCAGAGAAGTAGGAAATACAGGGACCAATGGCTGGGGGACAGCCTGGGTCATCTGCATCAAGTTTTAATCTCTTGACATCATCGGGAAACGCTCAATCTAGCCGTGGGGAGCATGAGAGATCAACTGAGGTTTTTGAATCAGCCGGTTCTCGAAATGTTGGACAATCTAGTGATACAGTTGAGGGTTCCAGTACAGTGTCCCAAGTGCAACATGAAGGATCATCTATGGATGCCGTTCCTAAAGCAAGGAAAGATCCTGGAAACAAGTGGATGGCTTTTGGAGGAGAGGCTGCCGACAAGTCCAATATCATTAGCTTTGATGACTCCATAAAAAACATGAATGGGGGAGAGAAAGATACAAATGAAAAGTCCTCTCATAGAATTTTAACCGAAGCTAGCATAGCTGAAAGAACTGCAGAATGGGGTATTGCATTGCAGACAGATTCTGGAGACGGTAGCTTCAAAGTGATCGGCAAAACGAAGAAGCTTAGCGGAGAAGGCAACCCGAATAAGTTCTCGTTAGATAAATTTTCAGTGGGATCAGCAAGGACATCAGATGAATCAAGTCAGGGATTGGATCAAATTCCTAGGGTGTCACAGGATCTTAAGGATGCTTTGGCAACCCTGCAACAAACTTTCGTTGTATCTGACGCCACAAAACCCGATTGCCCTATAATGTATGCAAGCAGCGGATTTTTCACCACGACCGGTTACTTCGCAAAGGAGGTCATAGGAAGAAACTGGTAAGTTATTGCTTCTAAACACGTGACACAACCTGCAATCATTCTACAGCACAAAATCGTTGCAATTTTCTATGCTAGTCAATGACACATGATTGATTGTAGATAATCATTTTTTTCACTTGCTGTGAAGTACTGATCATTTCAAATATTGTAAAACCGTAACTGATATGCAATGTAATCTTTATCGTCTCCATATTTTTCGTTTAGCCGTTTTCTACAAGGACAGGACACAGACCAGAATGAGGTTGCCAAGATCAGAGATGCAGTTAAGAATGGAAAAAGTTATTGCGGCAGGCTCTTGAATTACAAGAAAGATGGAACTCCTTTCTGGAATCTTCTTACTGTGACTCCCATAAAAGATGATCATGGGAAAACCATCAAATTCATTGGGTTAGTTTTCCTTACTTTCCTTCATATGGATATCAAATTTCGAATTATATCATTCCTTTTTCGTTCCCAAAAGCATGCATAGTTATTGAATGTTGTTTGATGCAGAATGCAGGTGGAGGTCAGCAAATACACAGAAGGTATCGTTGAAAAGGCATTGAGGCCTAATGGACTGCCACAGTCATTAATCCGTTACGATGGTAAATTATGCTTTGGCTGTGGGGATGTTTTATGGTGTGATTTCAGTTCTAATATGTAATGATCCCACATTTTGAAACAGCTCGTCAGAAGGATAAGGCTTTAGATTCCATCACTGAGGTTGTCCAAACTGTGAAACGCCCTCAATCTCACATTCGAACAACATGTAATGATGCAACTAGCAAGCTTGAAGAGTATAAAAAATTCAACCTTGATTATGTTCTGCCTAAATCTGCTGAAATTGAGAACAGTAGTACCCCTGGGAGATATACTTCTCGGTCCGATTTCAGTGCTGCTACTCCTATGCAGGATACTAGCAAGAAAGAACGAAAATCAGCACGAATCTCTTTAAAGGGGTGAGTTATTCTGGCTTAAATTC